AAATAACGCAACGATTGATCAATACATCTCGTAGCGCCAGTTGAGCTGTACCATCTCCTCTGTGACACCACCCTTGATCACCTTAGCTATTTCCACGGGGTCACCCGAGTCCAGACGTTTGTTCTCGCGCAAAACGAGCCAGCGGTATGCAGTGATGGTAAATCCGAATAGGATAGCAGCACCCATAAGTGTGCCGAAGGCAGCATAGAAATGGGGCTCGCCAAAGTATAGGTATGAGGCCCAAATATTGGATGTACCACCGATGGCATTGACCAAAGCAGAGGCAGCCGCTCTTTTCGAGATGGGCCGTGCAAGGTGCAGGTTGATGGTCTTGTAGAGGAGGAGCTGAGGACCGACGGAGGCGAAAGGCAGGATCATCATGGAGAAGTAGCGAGCGCCGACGTTCGTACTCGCAATCGGGATAATGTACATCGGGATCGAGATGGCGATGCACAGGAGGATGATTGGGTAGACAGTATTCTTTCGATCGGAGTAGTACATGAGGACGTAGTAGACAAGACCCGCGAGAATATAGGGAGGGGCCGTGAGAAGCAAGCTGATGGTGGGGGCGAAGTTGAGTGAGCCCACGAGGGTGGGGAAGTAGTTGGCGATGGAGCCCTGTGTTTGAGATAACATATTGCAAAGAATGAGCAGAACCAGCTTAGGGTCTGAGAGGGCTTTGACAAAGCCTTTCATCACGCTCTCGTCCTCTGTGCCCTCTGCCGCACCGGCTTCAGACTCGAGACGCCACACGGCGCAGTCGCGCTCAAGCTGGGAGAGGATGCGGCTGTTGTGGGGGAATTCTGGCATGATGCAGGCGCAGATAATGCCAATGCCGACGGTGGCACTGCCCTCGATGATGAATAGCCACTGCCAGCCGCGGATGCCGTGATGCCCATCAAGTTGGAGGATAGCTGCGGCAAAAAGACCACCAAAGGCATTACCGACTTGTTGAGCGATGTATAGCCCGGCAATACGCTTCCCTAGCTCCCTCTTGGTGTACCAGGCAGAGAGGTAGTAGATGGCTCCGGGGAAGAAAACGGCTTCGGCGGCTCCGAGAATGGCCCGAACAGCGAGGAGCTGACCATATGTTGTGACTGCCGCTGTGCACGCTGAGATAGAGCCCCAGATAGCCACGGCACCACATATGTACATGCCTGGCCGAGAGAACTTTGTAATGATAAGGTTGCTGGGAATTTGGAAGGGCAGATAGCCGACGAATAGAATGGAGATAGCTGTGGCAAATTGCTGATCAGACATGTTCAGATCTTCCATGATGCCCTGAAGCCTCGCAGCGCTCAAGTTCTGTCTATCTATGTAGTTGAGAATATAACTACGCTGCTTAGTTAGCAATTAGGCCATCAAGTGAGCCTCCAGGGCAACATCCATGGATATCAAAAAGAGATGGCACGTACAGAATGGAAATTGCTGGAAGTACAAAGAGGTCAACCTTTCGGACGATCTTCTTGTTGAGAGTAGTGAACTCATCGTGGCTGAGTGCGCGAAGGGACTCTGGCATGCGGTCGTAGGCACCGACTTGCCCTTCTGCCGACGAGACATTGTCTTCAGCCAGGAAAGACTTTGAGTCTTTCTTGTCCATAGGCAAGGACATGAGGAGATAGAAAGGAGATAGTAGTGCTGCTTGCCAAGACTGCAGCAAGTATGAACGATGGCGAGGATGTTGCACAGAGAGTGTTGCAGGTTGCAGGCTGTTATCCTGTAGACGATACCTGAGCTCCCCCTATATAGCCCAGCTCAGTCTCTACCTTTACCGCTAAGCGGACTTCTTTTCAAAGAATCTCGAGGCATTGATTGGTCGAGATTGGGTCATTCGTAGATGATAAGTAGATAGCCCTGGAGATAGGCGTATAAAGGAACGCCCAATGGTATCTGACCAATTGGAATCTATTACCCCGGGATGTAGAGCTTGGTTGAAATCTGGGGTACATTGAACTAGGCCTGGGAGGAGCTCTCGCATGTCCCGAGGTCGATAAGAAGTTTTTGGGAGGTGCAGGCTAGAAGAGACGAGTTTAATGGCCATATGGACAGAACCCGCAATCGCGGGGGCAAGTCTTATATAATATTAAACTTTTCTAAAGTGGCCGCTGGTGTCAACTGTCAACAGGCGATAAGCCACCCCGGTAAGTTTGCCACTAGTTTGCCCTAACTACCATGCAAGAGCTCATGTTTACCATCTCTAAGCTCCTCATTTTCGTTTGATTTTTACTATCTTTAGTCTAGATGAATGAGGGGGATAAGGATACGTAAACCAGTAAATGATACTTAAACTAGCATCTTATCAATACCTCTCGTCTTCATCCCACTCTCAACTCCCACCCCAAATTACCATCTCGATCTTCTAATACCTCTACCATCACAATGGCTTACACTACCGCCCTCACAACCTCAATCGACAACTCCCGATTGAGGCTCCTCAACAAGATCAAGGCTGGCGAGTTCCCGCTCATGACCTTCATGGCCATCCCCTCCATCCGCCAAGCCCAAATCGTTGCCTTGACCGGTGTCGACGGTATCATCATTGACTGTGAGCACGGTCACATTGGCGACGATGCCATGCATAACTCTGTCGCTGCTATCTCCGCCCTCGGTGTTTCCCCCGTCATCCGCATCCGCGGCCCTGCCCACGATATCCTCAAGCGCGCCCTCGATACCGGTGCCCATGGCATCATGGTCCCCCAGATCAACAACGCTGAAGAGGCCGAACAAATTGTCGCTTCCTCCAAATTCCCTCCCCAGGGTGTGAGAGGTCAGGGCTCAGCTTTCCCTGCAATCGGCCACGGCCTCACAACTCCCGAATACATGAAGTCCGCCAACGAGACCATCATTACCATGATTCAAATAGAGACCCGCGCCGGTGTCGAGAACGTCGATGCTATCTGTGCTGTGCCGGGTGTGGATCTTGTCTTCATTGGCCCCAATGATCTTGCCCAGTCTCTGCTTGGATACACACCTGCTCGTGGCGATGAGCCTGAGTTTGTTGCTGCTATTGATAAGATTATTGCTGCTGCGCGCAAACATGGAAAGTGGGCTGGTCGCATGGTCAACAATGGTACGGCGGCCAAGGAGGCCCGGGAGCGGTATGATACCGTCGCCGTCACTGGTGACACTAAGGCGCTTCAGAACTGGTACATGGCAGAGTTTGATATTGCTCGCTCATGAGAGGGCAGATGATTTTATGGTACTTCATGATAGACTTTCATACATAAATTTTAAATAGACAAATTGAGTTTCAATTTTTTTTTACCACTCTATATGATTTCAACTTCAAATTCGGAGATTCTCCGATCTAGCTGCATGTATTGACTCGGACATGGGAAACCAATAGCAAGTAGACATTTTAATCCCCTAGGATTGATTCACTTGCTGTTTAGTCTAGTTTGCGTAGGATAACTAGAGGACCAAAAGGAGATAATTCATTGATATATATATACTCGCTATTTAAAGAAGACATAGTCCTACCTGCTTGTTTACTCCATTTTTATGAACAGAAGCTTATGTGGTCAGACACAGCACACAATAGGCTCAACTCCTAGTAGTATATAGGCACCTGGTTAAGATTATCTCTAACTATATATCAGGTAACAACTAAGTAATATAATGATCACTCTGCTCCAGATCATATGACAAATTGATACTCTATTCAAAAATAATTTTAATTTTCATCATCTATATTATAGCCATTTTCATAATGTCATAGTCTAAGCTTGTGCGATACACTCGATCTCAATGACGGTGCCATTTCCGGGGGCAACCGCTTGAAGACATGAGCGCGAGGGCATGGGCTGTGGGAGGAAATCGATGTAGGCTTCGTTCATGGCGGCGAAATCCTTCATATCGGCGAGGTAGACATTGTATTTAACGACCTGCTCAAGGGAAGAGCCGGAAAGTTCGAGGACCTCCTTTAGGTTTTGCAGAACGGTTCTCTGTGTAAAAGCAATGAAGAGTCAGCCAATGCCTTAGTACCGGATACTTGCTTGTGCACTGAACTCACAGTAGCCTGCTTAATCTCTCCTGTGGCGGTTTGGCCAGCGCAAAAGACGAGTCCAGGGACTTTGACGGCAGGGCCTAAATAGCTTGGTTAGTTGTTTTCGTTTATTCAGAGAAAGGTGTTTTGCATCAGATACTCACAGTTGTGAGGCTTGGTAGGGAACTTCTCGCTGGAGATGAGTTGACGAGACATCTTTGCTGGTGGTTATGAAGAGTATAGGAGATTTTCGATGGTACAATTTGAAGAGTGTGTCAAGCAATTTGAAATTCAGAAGTACTAGGAGCTTGTTTAAATTGCCCAAGCTACCCCTCATGTCTCTCTACCCGGGACATTTTGCCAATCAAGAAGAGGAGCAATCGGCATTATCGCGATGGAGGAGCAGTGTTTTCTTCCAAGGGAATATGGGAGGAGTGTGAGAAATGGGAGGAGCACATTGAAGTGGATCGATTATAGCGGCCATATTTCCAAAATATGTATCAGTGCGTAAAGCCCCACCTAGTAATCGAGACCAACTACATGGCCGCAATCCACAGCTGTATATAACTCCTGACAGTGCTCGGGTGTCAATCTCCTTCCAATTTGGGTCTAGCGCCCATGTTTTAGCTTATATCTAAGGTTTGACACCCAATGAATGGTCCAAGGCTATTTTGGCGCTAAGGAGGAGCCCTCGAGGTTCTGTTTATGATAACAAACACACCTGAGATATCGGGAAAATGTGGGAAAATGTAACAAGGAGCATCCAACGTGACGAGTATCAAGCCCTTCAGTGGCGTCACTAGCAGAGAACGGTAATCCTCCTCCTCGCACCTGATCTAACCAAATTGAATGAAACATGCCATACTTTCCTCCCCGGATATCGGATATACAGATAGGGTTTCATGTCTCATTATCAGATTAGTATAAAGTAGGTATAGAACTCGATCAGATAGTCTTTCATTTACTGTCTTCTGCATCAATCACAATATTGAACATTCTTTGAACATATATTACTATGGCACCTGCAGCTCCCTTCAATCCCCCTGCGGCTGACCTGCCTGGCAAGCCTTTTGTCCCAACATGGGTCCCCCCACCGGTCACTCAGCAAAAGGAGAACTTTGCTGAGCTTAGCTCCATTGATCTTTCTTTGATGGACTCGGATGACCCTGCCGTCGTTGAGAAACTTGTCCAGCAGGTTAAGGTCGCCATTCGTGATGACGGATTTCTCTTCCTCGAGAACTACGGAGTCTCCCTAGAGCAGGTCAGTCTTGGTTCTCAGGAAATCTTCTAAGGCCAAGGTCACTGATAACGTATCTCTTCCAATAGCTCCACCGCCAATTCTCTCTTGCACAGTATCTATACCACAACATTAGCGAAGAGGACAAGGAACGCCTTTTGTTCGATCCTGAGACTGGTGTTTGGTCCGGTTACAAACACCCTTATGGATTCAAGGTAAGAGGACCTCCCTCACGCATCAAGAATCAAACCTTGTACTTACTCTCCCTTTTTATGATTAGCGTGAACGCGGACCCGAAGACGGCATCGAGCAGTTCAACTGGTACAAGCCTGACTGGAACGACATCAACCGTGTTCCCACATGCCTTCACCCATTTATGGACGAGATCGAAGAGTTCTCCAACTATCTGACCAAGTCCGTCAACCGCCGCCTCCTGACTCTCTTCTCCCGCGTCCTCGAGTTGCCCGACGACTATCTCTGGGACAACGTTCAGTCACACGGCTGTCCAACTGGCGAGGGCTACTTCCGCCATGCCCTTTTCCGCCCTGTCCAGAAGAAGACCCAAGAGGCGTCCAAGGGCCTGCGCATGCACGGTCACACTGACTTTGGTCTGACCACATTGCTCTTCTCTGTCCCCATCTCGTGTCTCCAGATCTGGGGCCGCGATGAACAGTGGTACTACGTGCCCTACAAGCCCGGTGCGCTTGTTATTAACATTGGTGACACCCTGGAGATTGTTTCCGGTGGTCATTTCAAGGCTACTCGTCACCGTGTTTACAAGCCTCCTGTCGATCAACTGCAGCAGGAGCGTCTCTCCCTGGTGCTTTTCAACAGTTCTGTTGGTGAATTGCGCATGGGTCCTGCAACAGGTTAGTAGATTGTAAAAAACACATTTGGGGTAACAAGAAGTACGCTAACATAATCGCTTATAGATTCTCCACTTATCCAAAGAGTTGGGTGCGTTGAGGAACAGGGTGTCTACAAGGAGTTCAAGAGTCTCACATCCCAAGGAAAGCTTGTGCCTACCAACCGTCAATGGCGCGAAATACAGATCTCTACCGCTACGGATCCTACGGACCAAGAGCGTAACAGAGTTGGTGCTGATCAGGTCCTCATTGATGGTAAGATTATGCATCAACGAGAGTACATGGGTGTCAAGGTTGTCCTGCCTGTTTGAACTAGAATGCAGGCAATGATTGGAAGGGTTTGTTGTTTTGATATTATTACCCCTGGCTTTTCTGGATGATTTATGCCAACAGATTGTATGCAAGATTCAGATATATGTAGCGTTTCAATTTGATCGTTTGTTATGTTTATACATTGTGTATGGTATGAAATCCGCAGCAGGACTGCCCAGGTGTACAGCTACTGTGCACGATACCGCCGTAGTCATCAAATACTAATAATATTCTTCAAATACTAGTATTGATATGGGAGAAGGAAATAAAATCATAGATACCGCTGCGTAATCATAGCTTTCTTCCAAGCCTCCCCAAAGACATGGCAATAGTATGCGACCTTACACCTTATGGTTTGCTCCTATCTTTGCAAGTAGTATTTGTAGATTGAAATCTTCAATCTTGGGATCAAAGGATGGTGTAAAACGTTTATTCTTTATTCTTTATTTGTCACGGCGTAGAGGGAAAAGGCAAGAGCGCTGTCAAGGTTTCAAATGCGAAAATAACATTGTCTTCAATTCTAGAACCTATTTCAATCCTCCAGCTAGGAGAAGACTCTGGCCCGTCATGTACCCAGTCTTTGCTAGCATAGTAACAACGTTTGCTGTTTCTTCTGGGGTCCCCAGCCGCTTTAGAGGAATACTCGCTGCCACTTCGGGGAATGCCGCGGCAGAGGAAAGCATGCCTGTATCACCGATCATAGCTGGGGCGACGTCGTTGACACTAATATTGTACTCTGCGAGTCGGGTTGAAAGGTTCTTCATCATACCGGTAAGACCACCCTTGGAGGCTGCATAGTCTAGGATGGGAAATGGAGTTAACGATTGCTTTGGGGAAAAAAAGCCAATGCATTAAACTTGGAAGGATAGTGGATTGACTTACGGCACCCGTTAATGCCTCCACCTTGGGCGGCGATAGAGGACATGAAGATGATCCGTCCCCACTTCTGGGCCTTCATGTGCTCTACTACACCTTTGACAAGAATGAAGGCAGCGCGCAGGTTGATATTCATAGTGTAATCAAACTCCTCAAGCGAGATATCCGACACATCAGGAATTCGCTTGCCATATCCAGCGTTTGATATAAGAATGTCTGGTCGTTGGCCGTGCTCGAGATCAATTTGTTGAAACATAGATTCGATTTGATCGCTAGACCCAACATCAACCTGGTGGATTGAGATGCGAAGGTTTTGGATGGCATTCTTGGAGTGTATATCTGCGACGATGCTGTTCAAGGATGTTAAATTGGTCGAGTATGTCAAGGCGAGATGAACTCCATTTTGTGCAAGTTGGTGTGCGCAAGCTGCACCAATTCTAAATTCGGAGAATTGACGCGAATTAGTTCCATGTCCTTGTATAAACGGGATGACACTATTACCCTCCCGATGCGCCAGTTATGACGGCCAATCTACCTCGAATGTCGTTATATGCCATTTTTGCGAATATAAGGAGTGCAAGTATACCGGCAGAGAGATTAAAGACCCCAAGAGATGTTGAATTTCGGGGGGACCCCAATATTACCTAGTTGGTGTTGGATGCTCCCCATAGAAACTGTTCCGGGCAGTCAGACTGCAGGTATTTCCCGAGGTCGTATAATGCGGAGTACGGAGTAGGTAGAACTCTGGAGGTGGGTTCATGAAGGAGCTCCTCCCAACGTTATCAATAGCCCTGACAGAGATAAGACCATTCAAATTCAGCCTTATCTGTCCAGCGTGCTGATCTTGAGTTTTTCGCTTATTCTCTAACTATTTTTTTTTCCAAATAAAGATAGTTGCGTGCATGGTTGTAGTAAGGTGGGAGATTCGACCCTAACTCGGGAGAAGCGATAAAGGTGGGTTTGGCGCGGTATAGAACTTGCATTCACATTCACATTCATTTGGATTATTCCAGTTCTAAATATATATCTTGTAGCTAGTGTAGCTGAAAATACTACGTTAAACATTCGCATTAATCCCGAAGTATGACTAGTAAAGGCCGGGAACGTGGCAGACGGCTAATCCGTAGATTCTTCGAGCCTAGGACTGGGAACCATGCAGGACATTGCACCCCGATGTCTGCTTATTCCTGGGGGTTCCAAGGTTCTTTATGGCCAAGCCTAGTTTGTTTGGCTTGGAGCACTCAAGTTCCAAACCCGATAGTGCTGCTCATTATCTCGTCATCCTACTCACTTTCCACCGTATTTTATTTCCTGTCATTCCCCTACTCAGCTACAACTTTTCTCGTGTCCCTACAAAATGTCGGCCCAGCCCTTGAGAAAGCATCGGCCTTTTGGAAATATGTGTACTTTGTGGTATGCGTATTATCGGACTGGATGTGGGCGTATCTACCATGAATCTACTGGATGCGCCGTTGTTGACAGAGATACCATATTTCGTGCCCAGCTCGACGGGTGTATGCGAGATACGACACCTATCTCTACGGCTATAATATTTTTATCAATCCATGGGTTGTGCCCGAGGTTCAAAGTACAATCCAATTTGCCCAAAACATGGTAGGAAAACGCAAAAGCTCCTATCTCAGCACACTTGCACTCGAAATCTGCTTTCTAGTGGCGGAAATACAATTCAGCTCCTGACGGTCAATGGAGAACCTAAGAAGGTACCTGGCACACTTGGAGTTTCTCTTTAATGAAAAGACTGCCAAAAAACTACTGAAAAGACACCACAAGGCATAAGCGGCCGACTATTCCTACGTTTACTAGGAAAATGTCACAAAAGAATCTTACATTGACAGACTTGGGTATCACTCAAACAAAGAGAAAGGGGGGGGGGGGGGGGGGGGACACACTCAGCACAAACTCAGGATCCTAAAGACATTTTAGAGCGTCGGAGTTCCAAGGCGTCTTCCACAGATTTCTGTTCTGCGAGTGTCAACCTATCCTCAGGATCAAGCTCCTCGCCGCAAAGCTTGATGCTCAGTATGAACTCAGCGCATTCAGATCTGAGTCTCTCCATCATCCCTGCATCCTTCTCAGATGCAATTTCATCAATTCCCCCTTTCTGAGTACTCTCTTCCCAGGGGACCAGATATTTATCCTCAGCTTTCGACCCCATCCGAGCGATATGCTTATCATCCAGCAATCGGCCCGCAAGCTGGCTCTTGAACACAGTCTTGCCATACATTTTCTCCTCGATTGTTCCGCCAGCAATAAGTCGGTACACAAAAACTGGCTTTATCTGGCCAATACGATGGGCACGCCCGACTGCTTGCTCCTCACAGGTAGGGTTAAAGAGGAAGTCAAAAATGACAACTCGATTCGCTGCGTGGATATTCAAACCGATACCACCAGCTTTAGTTGAGACAAGAAACACGTGAATAGACTGATCCTTGTTGAATTTGCGAATTATTTCAGGGCGCTCAGCCGTGGCCACTGTACCGTGAAGTAAATAATACTTCCTTTGCGTTCTTTGCATCAATTGCGCCAGATAATTCAACGTTGGAATACTGGATGAAAAGACTAGGACCTTATCCCCAACTGCAATTGCCTGGTTGACAATCACATCGAGGATCGCCACGCGACTGGATAGGCTAGGATCCATCAAGTTAGGAACCTTGCTGAACAGATCGTCCAGTTCAGACACCGTCGACCGTGGAAGGGTTACCTCTTCGGTGGTGACGTCGAAGCCGGCGTTAAGACCATGATCATCAACGCTGGGGCTTCTTTGTTTGCTAGGTGCGCTTTTGGTTGCTCGGGTTTCCAGGTTTTCCTTGAGAAGGGTTGGATGATTGCAGCAGAGCTTAATAGGGGACAGCCAGGACAGAAGCTTCGAGCTCACATTCGCAGTCTTGCCTAGTGGTATACCTTCGATGACGAGGTTGTACGCAACTTTTTGCAAGCTTGTCAGCTCGAAGTAAACAGAGAACTCGTATTTGGGTGGCAATTTGTTTGTCAGTACGGACATGTCCGCTCGCTGTACCTTTGGGTCAATGATCCTAAGGAACATCTCCTGGCGCTGGAGTGCCATTCTTCGGTCAAGCCAGGTACTGTCAATATGGGAGCCGTTTTCGATTGGCGTGATGAAAGTTTCGCTGAAATCAGCAAAGGTTCCCAGGTAACCAGGAGCAATCCAATCAACCATCCAATAGTAGTCTTTCAAGCCATTGGATAGCGGAGTCCCTGACAGGGCAATCCGTTTCCGGGTGCGGATGCGACAGGTTGTCTGAGCAATCTTAGTTGTGTTGTTGCGTAACACCTGAGCTTCATCGGCCACAACAAGATTTGGGCTTTCCAGCAACCAACTCTTCACAAATTTATTGGTCGATTGTTTTTCAGGGTCCTCGTTCTGGCCGGCATTGTTCCCAGCGAGATTGCGGAACATTTCGTAACTAATGATCAGTACACCACCCTCGTCATTCCAAGCACAAATCTCTCCAGTTCGGTCAGGGCCCGTGGTCGAAGATTTGGCCAGAATGGGGCGGACCTTGCCGAGATTATGGCTGTCAGGGGACCACATTGCAAATTCCCTGCACCAATTCTGAATGAGCGATGCTGGACACAGTATCAGAGTTTTGAGCTGTCGCAATTCTTGGGGGATTTGGTCTCGAATGGCCGGATCTTGCGATGCCCCGGCATTGGAGATGGTGACTAGAAGTGATATCCTATGCATGAGTTAGCCGAGCCCCACTAAGTCAGTCAATCAGAACTTACACTTGCATGGTCTTGCCCAGCCCCATAGTATGGGCTAACAAGCACCCTTCGGGTCCTTTGTTCTCAACAATTTCCCGGAACATAAACTGAACTCCATGGAGCTGATGCGGCTGAATTCGGCTGCCGATATATGGATCAAGGTGGATAACATTATCCCCAAACGAAACTGGCTTTGCAGGTATTTGCTCATAGTCAACCCGGGATCGGAAGGCCCGTTTGGCCTCATCTTGATCTGCTTGTCGTTGCTGGCCATCCTTTTGAGCCCTATTCAGAGCCACTGCCGTTCTCTTGCGCCTAAGCCACTGGTGCTGGGCGAGTTCCTTTTCATGATGTTGGACACGAGATGACAAAGTCAGCCATTTTTTGTATCTCCCGAGAAGATCATTCAAGCATTCGAAGAACGGGGAGAATTGATCTTCATCAAGGTCATATCTGGTTGCTACAAGTGCTTTCTTGACTTCCTTTACCGTAAAGGCGCCAAGAGGGACTTGGATAACATTGATCCACGACACGAACAAGGCGGTCATCAACATTACAGAATGGCTCTCCTCGGGATCCCATCCTTCCAATACCGGTGAATCGTCAGACATGTGTTTCAGCGCGTCTCGCGTAAATTCTTGATAAGAGAAGGGCATATAAGACCCGAGAAAATCAGAAAGTTGGTTGATCCGATTGTCCGACAGACCTCCAAGGGCTTTCGCTACCAGGTGATAGCGATTTCCACTCTCCTCAATGGTTTTCCAAGTCATAGAATAAACGTCATCAAAAACACGCACAGCATCATCGGTTTCACTGCTGTTGTCACTCGCTGAAACCACTGATTCAAGTGTTTGGCGGCGCACCGGGTTAATAGGATAGGTATTTGCCTCCATCTGACCCTCTGCTTCACACTCCTTTGAAGGCAGTGCCACGTCCCGGTCAAACGGCAGAGCTGTCATTGGTATCAGTGGTGGAATTGAATCATCTTGGCCGACGCTATCTTTCTCCAGGCGGCGCCTCTTGGCGGCTGGGGGCTCGTAGTTCTCTTCTTTGTAGAAGAGGTGGCTCAGGTCCTCGTCTGAAGAGGAGTCGCGGAAGGGCCCACTTGGGTAAGCTGTGCTAGAGCGTGGCTCCTCTTGATGTTGTGCAACATCGCCCTCTTCGGGATCAGAAAGCAAGGCAAGATCGAGGCTATCTTCCGATTGTTCTGATGATTCATCTTCCACCCCTTCTCCGGTGTCATGCATTGAATCCGAATCTGAATTTAAAGTCTCTTCGCCGTCTGAATTCACATCAGGCTTTGCTGCCCGTGGAGTGCGTGGCAGAGGAGGAACTTTTGGCGGCGGTGTTGGTTGCTCGAGAACATAAAGCTTCCATTTATCCAATAAAATATCAACGATAGTGGCGTCGAGGCATGCACATGCTTGCAGTAAAGACGAACGGGATGAATGTTGCGCCTCAGCGAGTGCTTTGCGGAGGGCTTGACAGCGTTTCTCCAGATGTGCGAGCCGTGTCGAAATTCGGCTTTTCATGCTCGGCAGCTGTTGACCTCTAGTCCAAATTTGAAATCCTTTCGGCAGCTCTTTCGGCAGCCGACGCTCGTCGAAATGAGCTTTCCGTGCGTTAATGTATTCATCGACGATTTCATTGAATTCGGCATCTTCCAGGTTCCCAGAATCATCCAGGGGAGTAGCCGGGCGGGATTGACTCTCGTCCTCTTCTATTTCCTCGTGAATGTCCGTGTCGTATTCGCCCTCGGAGCTGGATTCTCCAAATGCTGGGAGGACATCCGCATCATTTGGGGGGTAAGCCTTGGCAAGGTAATCAAAGAAATATTCTTGCCCAACTGCGGAATTCGGATCAGGCAGTTCATGAGGTGAGCGGATCTCCTGGAGAGAAGACGTGGGTGGTCGTTCCGCGATTGTGGTCTCCATTCGGCGGGGTCTCTTCCCCCCTGTTTTGGCCGGTGGAGATCCATCAGGAAGAGGACTGGGGTTGATGGGAACATCAAGAGAGACGGCGGGGTTAATGGGAACGTCAGAAGAGGCGGTGGTGCTGATGGGAACGTCAAGAAGCGGAGTGGTGCTGATGGGATCATCGACGCGTTCTGGTGAAATCTGCTGTTCTTCGAGAAGTGCTTTGGGGGGAGGCTGCTGTTGCTCCAATTGGAAGTTTTGGAACTTCGTTGATCGTCGCTGTAGCCATTGACTGGCTTTCAGGACATACTGGCGTTGCGCAATAGCTTTCACGCCTAGCTCTTTCACATAATAGTCTGTAATTTCGAGAAAACTTGAGCCTGAGATGTAATTTTCTCGGAGAGAGGTCTCCAGAGCCACAAGATCTGGGGAAGCCAAATTGCAGGACCAGTCCCCAGGCTTCTCGTGACAGAGAAATGTAACAACCTCGTCGACTGTCCAGTCCTGAGGGTCTTTGGTTAAAGACATGTTCGATGGGGGGGCCTGTACTGGATTAGCGGACGGTTCAAACGTGCCAGGAGGGCATTTGTCTCAAAGACGCGACTGGACAAGGGACAAATTTGGGATGAATGTATGACTTACCATGCCGGGGCCCCCATTCAAGTCGGGGCTATATCAATACAAATTCAAGTATGTACAAACTAGGACCAATTAGAGATGAAAGTTAAGCATTGAGGTAGCGATATGCGAAGGCTAAGTGGGAGAAGCCAAATGAACGAGGGTAAAAAAGGGATCGTTTGGGTGGGATAAGAGAGGAGAGAAGAGAAGAAAGAGAAGAAGGGAACCGTTCAAACAAAACACGTCCACAACCCTCTCCCCGAGGTCCTTCCCAATCGGTGTTATGCATGAAGCTCTTTTTTTGTGCCAGTATTTGATTAGGCGGTGAGCTATTTTGGGAAAGAACGAGGCAATTCTGTTCTCAAAATGGAAGGCGGGAGATTTGGGCGGTCGCGCGTAAGTTTATGCCTCAGGTGTCGTTAACTGCCCCGCCAATTATAAATCCCCAGGCTCCAGAGCCTCGAGGTTAGAATCTTTGAGACTATCAAAGGTTATATATAGAAAAGTCTCTTGCACAAAGTATTTGTCTCCGCCTTTTTCTGCTGTCTACCTATACAATTGAGAAGGGGGAAAAATATCTCAAAAGACATCTATGTTATAAACAGAATATCTGAGACTACTAAAAAGACTACTAAAAAGAGATCACAAGGCCGCATCCGCGACCCTCTACTTTTATGGGATAAAATGCAACAAAAGTGGTCCTTTTCATCAAATACGGGTTCCATCACTCAGTTAGTTAGAGGTGCTAATAATGAATTCATTTAACCTACAACGCTTAAACAGTCCATGTCCTTTCTCCAATTCTTCAGAGGCTCGTCCACTGCCATGCGTATATCTTGGCTTAGTTCATTATTCTCTGAGCCTCTGCGATTCTATTGTCGTGCTTTGATGTAGCGGATCCAGCATTTTTGATTGGGTAGTGCTTTTGTATCGAATTTGTTGTCTGCAGCTCCATCTATTCCGGCATCTGTCCTAGAGTAAAGCCGCGGGGGTGCAGCTCATAATGCGAAATTTCGCAACGTTAGAGCCTTGCATTCATACAGTTACTATGTAGCTATTTAGGTATGGACAGGTAAAACGAATGTCAAGAATATTGCCTATAGCAATGCTCCTATAAGATAGTGATGAATTCCTTGCTATTAATATAATGTCAACCATGTATTGATACCAATACTGAATATCTCAGGAATGGTAGGGAAATATGGTTCTATTGTTGCCTGAGGCATCAGTCGTACTTCAAGACACGTGACGTTATATATCGTTTCTGTTGTAACAAACGTCACCTACATTTTCATGTTATGCATTGCCCATAAATTCAATCAAATATCTCATTCATACCCGAAGATCACTCAAAGGCCTTAGTCTGTGAGAATCGTTGATTCCTTAAATACCGAGTCAGTCACTTTTAGCGCGAGTACTCCGTACAAGGGCATCACGGTGGCGCCTGTCCCACATGGCCAATCCCCATAGCTCCTACAGGGATCTGGCCAAGAACTATGAGAGGCAACTAGATACCCTAATAGCACAGGGAATCTTCAAGCCAGTTTTTCTATATCATGTTGTCATCCTCCACATTTTACCTTTGATAGGTCTGGCCATTCCACGCAGCAAGGGAGGACGATATGTTCGAAAAGGCATTTTCGTCCTCTGTATTGCAATTGCAATTGAAATTCTACAAAACAGACGGGCAATCATTGGAGGAAATGGTTACATGCTTGGCCTGATAACCGCTTGGTGGCTAGTATGGAATGCCACCTTGTTTGTGTTTACAGATCTTGAACACGATTTCAAGCGCATTGAACGGAAACCTGTCAATATCCAGTCTCAAAATGACGCCAGGATTGAACATAGTACTGTCAAAAAGTCGCTTGACTCGAACAGTCCAACATGCACGGAACAGGAAAGCGACCTTTTTGTTTGGCGGCCATATCCCGAAAAGTTTTGGCATCGCCTTGAATGGTCCGCTGGACTACTCTTCAACCTGAGAGGGCCAGAATGGAACTGGCGGGCTTCCCATCTGGGTCCTCTTCCACGACCAATTCATGACCAATTGCATTCAGGATTCATGGGCAAAATCAACGCACATGAACCCTCCACGTATCCCAGCGGCAAACACCGGCTGCAGGCTGCTTTTCGGAAGTTCTTCATATCTTACCTTGTACTAGACATCTTGAAAGTCATCATCCTGATGCCAGATCCCTACTTTCGAGGCCTCGCTCCAGCCGATTCACCGTCACCATTTCCTTTCTTCTACTTCACAAATCTCACATTGCATCCTGTCATAGCCCAGCTCTGTCATCGTTTATACAGCGCCATAAGTGTGTATTTTGCCATCGAGTTCGTGACAGCACTGAATCCGATGTTCTTCCTGGGGCTATCTATCGCATTCCCCAACGGGGCTAAGAAGCTGACTGCCGCACCATTGAATGCTCCATGGCTGTATGGTGATTCATTCGGGCCGTTCTTCATCCCAGTCCTTGATGAAGGATTGGCGGGCTGCTGGGGTCGTTGGTGGCACCAAATCTTCCGGTACGGATTTGTAGCTTCAGCACGCTGGATCCTATCCGTACTTCCGGCCGGCTTAGCTTCCCATCTGCAAGTCCGTCGTGTTACTTACGTGGTGGTTGCCTTCTGTCTTAGTGGCTTTGTGCATGCCTGTGGAAGCCATACCCAGATTGCAGATACATCCCCCGTATTCGGGACATTCTTATTTTTCGCTTTGCAGGGTGTTGCAATCATGGCAGAGCAGTTTTTCAAGACATCGATCCTCCCGAAATCACCCTTTGCTGGTGCGCCTAGATGGCTGAGACGAACGGCAAATTTTGTGCTTGTATTCTTTTGGTTGATGGCCTCAGGTGGCCTCGTCGCAGATGACTTTGCGAAGGGTGGGTTATGGTTGATGGAGCCACTTCCAATTAGTCCACTTCGTGCATTGGGGTTTGGACTGCAGGGCCAAGGTTGGTGGTGCTGGACTGAGCCCTGGTTCCGGTACTGGAGTGATGGTACATACTGGGGGAGTGGCATACGGGTGTTATAGAATTGATAGATCTAAAATTTCAGATTACTTTCGGGATCCTTGAAGTCATTGATTGCATGTCCATGAAATAAATTACATTCGAACGTTGATAAGACCTATAATTACATCGTCTATCCGTCCATTGTGACATCATCATCCTCTTCATCGGTGTCAGAATCGATATTCAAAGTGGGCAATTCATCATCGCTATCATCATCGACCTCCTCTGGAGCCTGTGAGGTCACGGTGGTAGATGCGGGGGACACCTGCGTTGAAACCTTGGGGGCCTCAGCGTTGGTGATTGTAGGAGCTGGCTGAGAGAAAGGCTGTTGGCTCGAGGTGCTTGAAATAATTTCGTCGAATCGCGCCTTTTTGATCTGAACCTCCTGCGTCTGCGGTGTTGGCTCCTCAGCTGTGGATTCCTCGGCGTAGGTCCGCTTGTGGAAAGTAGGCACAGGAGTTGCGGCCTTCGAATCGTCTGACTTTGGTACTTGCAGGGGCGCCGACACAGGTTGCTTCAGGAATTCGGTCGTCTTTGGGGCGGCGTTGTATCCATCATCGACCATGTCCTCGTCTTCTGCTTCTTCGTCTTCATCGACATAGGCGTCAAGCTCGGGCGCGGTCATCAAGACTGGCATCCTGGGACGGACCAGAGCCTCCACCTCCATCTGATCAGCATAAGGCCTAGTCAAGAATGGAATGATGCTCGAGCCTGCTCCACGTCCCTTGACTGCCGGGACAGGGTTGAGTACGCTAGCAAACATCGCATTCTTGTCGGAGGTCAGAATTACGGAGCGGTCCATTTCAGCCCGGATGGAGGGTGGAACAAGCTCGGCGGGGATAGAAAGGAAAACGGCCTGCAAAAGTCCGGATGCATTTTGCTGAACCTCCAAAAGCGGAGAGGCCGATTGTGCCTGGCGGGATTTCTGAAGATCAGGGTTGAAAAAGGCATCTGCATTGGCTGTCCCTTGTCCGCCCTTTGACTTTGTTTTAGAGTCAGAGCCCGAATTACCGGTGGAGTTGGAATCTCCAGTGGGCGGCAACAGATCATTGCAGCAAGAGCGTAGGACGTTCGTCAAAGACACCACACTCTGTCTCGTCATCGCAGGTCCATTCACTGGCACCAGAGAACGAAGCAAAGCATAGACTGCCGAACGCAGGTCTCTATTGAACTTTTCGCCCTTGAAAGTCCAGACAGCCTGCTCTAGAATAGTTTGCGTTACTGAGGTTGCGCTGGTGGCCAAAATACCGACAACGTTGGAAAGCAAGCTCATGCATGCAATGTGAATGCGAGGCAGCTCCGTCCAAAGTGCCTCTCGCTCGTCACGGCTAATTTCCTGGTTGAACTGGATCCCAGATTGAGACGAAACGGCACCATTGGGAGGAACAGTGACCGAAGTAAGTCGGGAGGTTATATCAAGGATAGAGCCCATCGGAAGGGCAACTGCAGCTGCGGATGGCATCGAGATGAAATCGGAGAGAATCTGCAGAAGTGCAATCAACCTATCCACGCCCGAGTGCATTCCACTCCAGCCTGGAAGTCCAAGGCCATCTGGGCCACCGTCGCCCATTTCTTGGCTGTAGTTTGGCCGTGTGTGCACCAGAGCCGCATCGACAGACTCCCACTGCTCTACAACGGCTCGGAAAACGTGATCGGTTGTTCTGTGGATGGACAAAATCGTCGACTTGCAATCGTCCTTCCATCCAGAGCCTGCCTGATCCTTGGGTGCGCACTTGTGGAGAGAGACAAGCAGCTGCTCAGCTACGTCGATCACATGCTCCGGGAAATACGCAGGCGAAGAAGAGCCAATTACTTCAACGAGAAGAGTGCGGAGCTGGGCACCGAATGGACGGAAGAGGGTGATATGTCTTGGGATCAATTCCAGCAAGGCGTGCAGGACAATTTCCATGAAGGGAGTGTTGGGCTTCGGCTTTCGGACTGAACCCGAGGGAGTCTTCGTGATAGTAGAGACCAAGTTCAAGGCGGCAGTAATGAACCCAGGAAGTTGCGGGGTTGTGATCTCGCGGACAAGTGTTGGGTACTGGTATGTGAGGTGGAAAATACGAGTTAGTGTGATAATGCACATCTTTCTCGTGGAGATTGGATCTGGTTTCTAGAAACGCATAAGTCACGGAGCCAACATAGATAGACCGGGTTTAAATTAATTCATACCGCGAGGATGCTGATCAAGCTGCGAACAATAGGCTCATAGCCGCGCAGGATTTCCCATTGACCCGCTTCGACTGTGGCTTTCACCAGAATAACGGCAGTCCATCTTCCCTCAACACTGCGGTCCTGCAACAGACTGGCCAGTCTAGTCTTCAGTTTATGAATCTGGACAGCATTATCGGAGTCCGATTTGCCAGATTTCTGGGTTTGAGGGGTAGAGAGCAGCTCAGCGCAATCGTTCAATGAAGTCGCAAGGAACGAAGCTATCGGGGGCAATTGCTCGACCGGGGTAGTTGTCAGGCGATGCGTGATGGCGCGCAAGGTAGTGGAGGACATGGCTATTAGTGTAGACCTATATAACAGGTCTTAACACAAATAAGAATAGGCCAATTAATAGAAAAATGAGAGCAGACCAAAAGGTGAAAGTCTTATCGATAACTTTTTTTTTCAATCAAGAAGCTCGGACCATCAACTGTCGTTAAATTACCGTCACGTACGTAATCGCTCTCCACCCCTGGACGATCATCGGCCTTCAGACTGACGATGTTGGTGAAGCTTGATTGCTCTTCTCCCTTTTTAAATCATTCACAAATCTCCTGAATCATGGCTGTAAGTATCCCTCTTCTGTTCCCTTCAACAAGTGCTTGTTTATATTTCTTCTAAATCGTTGATACCACCCAGTATTTATGTTGACACGTGCGAACCAGGGAGGCAATGCCGACAAAGGGCAGGGCTACATCGCGGCCTTGGACCAGGCGCGGAGTCAGGGCAAATGGGATGAACTCCCCGAATTGATTCGAAAAGTCACTAAACACGCACCGCAAAAGACTTGTACGCCACCGGTCCCTAGTTTACTGATCTCAGCCTAACCGAGCCGTCTCTAGGCCTGATACAGACCGCAACTGCGGAATCGCGTGTGATTGCATATCTTCAACAAAAGTCCTCCGGCGACTCATCTTCTTCCTCCCCGAGTCTCGTCGAGCTTATTCCGGCCCTGTTGGTCACAATTGAAAACAATGACGGATCACCACAAGAATTACTGCAAGCGCAAGTCTGTCTGGGGTGGATTCATTGGGCTTTGAATGAACCTGGACTTTCGGCAGCGCGTCTTCCTAAGGATTTTGCGGCAACTCTCGATAGCTTGGCCAGTGGAGGAGAGCAACCAACCTCGTGGACCGAGGTCTGTTTAGTCAAGGGATGCTACATCAAGGGTATGTTTACTTTGTTTACTTCCGGATGTAGCCAGTACTGTATCTGACAGAAAGCCAGCAACCGCACAATCTACCGCTGCAGACATCGATGACGCATTGGAGACATTTTCATCTCTAATTCCATGGCTAAGCGGCGGTAAATTAGCCTCGGTCACCACTCCGCAATTCCTGAATTGGTCCGAGTCACTTTTGGGCAATGGTGCTCTTTTGGCCAGTGGTGAAGTGACCAAACATGCACCCTATTCGGATTCTAGACATGCAGATATTGCCTTACGATTGCTCAGGTTGTGGGCGACTCACCCTGCCGTGAAACACGGGGTTTCTAGTAGCAACCCATCGACTGTGGACTCTTTCGGCTCAGCCCCCGAGCATTGGTATGGACTGCTTATTACAGGCTTCTCACAGCGGTCCTGCAGGGCGGAGTCACATACACTGGCCCCAATGATGGACCAGACCGCCCACAACTTGGCAGTGAATTGCGCCGCGTAGAGACTATCTACGAACGCAACCTCCTCTCTGAAGTCATGTTTCCTACGGCCAGCTCGGAAAACTCGCAAGTCGAGCAGTGGGTCGAGCAGGTGATCAGTAACTGGGAAGTCTTGTGCGGTCCTGAGTGGCAGGATTCGGACCTCGGCGAAGGAGGTCAGAATGCGGTTGGTCGTAATGTGTTAGAGGTGAGTCCAACAACACATCCTATGAAATCACATGTACTAACATGTTTTGTCATAGATTCTATACCGGGCAGCGACAAAGACCTACCACTCCCCTTTGGTACTTCGACGTCTCTTCCATGTTCATTCTGCCTTGGCAGATTTCGACCTCGCTGTGAAGGCGCTCGATTCCTATATCGAGATTGTCACTGCAGCTAAAGAAAGGGCAGAGAAGTCTGCTGCGTACGGGGAGCTGGAAAAGGATGAAGTGTTGCTGCAGACGCTCTCTGAGGGTGTCACATTATTGAGCTGTCTTGGCTCATTGGAAGAGGCAGAGAAAGCACGAGATTTAACTGAACTGATACGGGAGTATATCGACAAGCACAATACGCCAACCACAGATGGTCAAGTCAATGGAAACTCTACGAACCTGCCAAACATCCCTCCCTCTGTGCTAGCTTCCTCCTACCGAGCCATCGGTGTTGGACTTGCCTGCTGGGCAAGCTGGACTCCCGTGACTGAATCACGCGATGAAATTAGAGCTGATGCGATCGAATACCTCGAAAAGAGTCTTGCTCCAGAATTGGGAAGTAGCTCAAACTATTCCTCACTCTACACCCTAGGCCTTGTGTTGGCCGAGAACAGAGATTTGGACACTGCAATTGACTATGTCAAGTCGGCTCTGACGCCTAGCACTTCGTCTACTGCGGTATCCGATGACCTTTCCAAAGAACGTGACTTGGTATCTCTGTGGCATCTGCTTGCACTGCTGCTGAGTGCAAAGCAGGAGTTCGAGATTGCTGGGCGATCATGTGAGGCTGCATTCGAGCAGTTTCCCCGAGAATTATTCTCGAAGGGTCATCGCGAACGGCGTTCATCAAGGAATGTGCAAAACCCCAACCAGCGCCCGATTGTCAGCAGATTTCAAGGCAGAGAAAAAGAACGGATCGTCCAAACCCGCATCACACAGCTTGCCTTCATCGAGCTCCTGGAAGGGCCCGAAGCTGCTGTCAACCACAGCACACAATTATTGAGTCTTTTTGGCGCTCTTTTCCAGGACCTAAATCTCGAGGCTGGGGGGACCAAAGCCGAATCAGACCATCTAGTACCGCCAAAAAGCTCTGCCGGAACTACCAAGAGCTTCCGTGGAAGCATTTTTGGCCGAAACAGAACATCCCAGTTACCAGATCGCCGTGCTGATCAGGGCAATGATTCTGATGCCGGCATTCCACCCACTCCGGCTATCCCCAATGGTCATATGACGGAGCATCCGTCAATCCAGGTCACAGACGAAGACCCTAACAGCCGTCAGGGAAGACTGCCAACGATTGGGAGGGCAGACTCCAAGAAATTGAAAAAACGAAGTTCAAGCTTTCATAGAAACGAGAGACCGCGTGTTGAAGAGCCCCCGCTTCCTAATGGGGGTGAAACATCTGCAGAAATGGTCGGCATTGCGTTTTCTGGCAACACATCACCAGAGTCCGCGATCCATCATACCAAAGGCAAACAACCGCTGCCTACGATGGCACATAACTTGAACTATAAACAAGAAGCTCCCCCTGCCGGCCACCAGGAGCAACCCCCTAAACAGGATATCCGGCTCCCAATCGTCCACCGTTTCGACTCTCCTACAAGCGCCATCACGAAGTTTTCTCTAGTCGAATCCCAGAAGCACGCCCTAGGTCTTCTCGTCAAAATTTGGCTTGTTATCGCTGGTCTTTATCGCCGAGCGTCTCTTTTCGACGATGCCCGTGAAGCTTGTGAAGAAGCTTCGAAACAAGCCGCGCGAGTGGAAGCACTTGCGGCATCACATGAATCGTCAGCTCGATCTTTTAGCAAGCGCGGTTGGGGTGCTTCAAAGAGCTCCGAGGAGCTCTGGGCTGATGTCTACGCGGAACAGGGTCTCTTGTCCCAGGCTCGAGCTAGCCCCCATCAAGCCATTAGGCACTTTGAGGATGCGCTACTGCGCTACCAGGACCACCCAACAGCGACAATTGGACTTGCCAACCTTCTCCTGGACATTTGGGATCAGAAATTGGATCCAGAGCCATCGAATGCCGACGTGGATCTTAACGCCTCTCGTCTATCATTGCTGTCGGAGACACCCAAGCCCAAGTCTGCGAAGGCTATCTCAACCGACGATCTCAAGGTATCAAGCGAGACCCAGAATGTGGGTCCCGAAGAGGCTCCTCTATCTGCACAAGATGTTGAGCCTAAGCAACTTCACCGTCTCGCAGCCCGCGATCGCGCCTATGGGCTTCTTTCGGCGTTAACAAAGCTTGGAAGCTCTTGGGACAACTCCGAGGCATGGTATGCGTTGTCGAGAGCATATGAGGCTGGTGAGCAGATCGAAAAGCTGAAAGAAGTGCTTTGGTGGTGCATTGAACTCGAGGATCGACGCCCAATTCGGCACTGGTCCAATATCGGTTCCGGTGTCTATGTCCTCTAATGACGGCAACAAAATCCTGTATCTTCTTGTATCTACTGCATTTTCCCCCTCTAGCAACGGATTTCCTTTTTTCTTTTTCAACGAGATACCTTGTTTATACCATGAAGGTTATCATTACTACAATTTTTATTGAAACGCAATTTTGAAAACGGACTTTCTTCGTAAAAAAATAAGCACTACTAGCAAAACGTCTTTATATACATTTCCCAAATCAACAAACGAGTTGTCACTAGGTTGAAAAGGGAGAACTGGATCAATTGAACAACAAAACAAGTGGATTGATTCTGCTACTGCAAATAAATCTACCGCGGAGCAGCGGTGGGAGTCCAGGCAACGATCTTGGGCCGGGTGCTAGAGTGACGTTAGTCGATGCACTGGAAAGACCAAAATATTGCACACAGGAATGTTGCACGTACGTGGAGTAAGTCTTGAATGCAGCGCGGCTCTGGGTCGGGTTGGGGCGGTGGTCGGCCAGCTCCCAGGGACGGAAACCGGACTGCATGAGCTTGTCGGCGGCCGGGGGCGCGTCAACAAGATAGGAAATCCAGGCGTGCCTTAATAGGGTTAGTTCCACATCATCACAGGTGCATTGTTGACTCAGTGTCTCGAGAGAAGCTCTTACCAGCCAGGCTCGATCTGGGATGCGTCGTATTCAGCCTCCTTGTAGTCGACCCATCGTGTTCGGACTAAACGGAGAAGTACAATTAGAACTTCATTTTTCAATGCGATGGTATGAGCCTAAGCATCTTCTTACGAGGCAATTCCTCCATGTTCTCGAAGTATTTGTTTCCGAAGCGGTCGGTTCCGATCAGAGCTCCGGCCTTGGTATCACCTATAAGAGCGTATTGTTAGTCAACTGCTGGGTAGACATCGATAGAGTGGCAACGCACCGATGTTCTATATCACAGCGAACAGGGACATAGGTTAGTCTCGAGTTCATCCAATTGACCTGTTCCGGGGGAGGCGTCCGTAACCGACCTGCATCTGGTGGGCGGCATCCTGTACAAGTATGTTAGCTACCGAGTTTCCATAGAGAATAGATCGCATTTATACGAACCTTGAATCCGACCCGGCGAAGGTTGCGCAGCGTCCTCACAATAGTCGACATCTTTGCTGGTATAATGTGCTAGAGCGAATGGGATGCGAGAGATTGGCGATTTGAGGTTGCAAGAGGGCGGTGTGTTTGCACTGTTTGCACCATGGCCTACCATGGATATCCCGATTCAGAAAACCCTCGACCTTGGAGATTCAGACATGTTCGGTCGCATTGGAGGGCAATCGCTTCGTAGCGCTGGGCATCGCCCAGTCGCACGTCAGAGACTGTATACTCGCCAATTTTCTGCGCATACCGGTACAGGAGCTGCGACTGCAGCACCCGCTCCTTCACCTCTAGCAGGAATCACCGCGGAGCTAGATCGCATTGCTCCCCGATTCGAGGTGCCTGCGTCTCAGATTCATATAATTGACTCCCCGGCCAATTTCTACTCTACATTGAAGGTATGTTCTGTCTGTTTGTCTGCTTGAAATTATTTAGGACTAACTTTCAGTTCCGCAGAATAAAATCCGCAATGCCCGGCGGCGCATTTACCTCTCGACACTGTACATCGGGAAAACAGAACACGATCTTATCGACACATTGAGCCAGGCTCTCCGCCGTAATCCGGATCTCAAAGTTTCTATTCTCACAGATGCTCTGCGCGGCACACGGGAGACCCCGAATGCTTCATGCGCATCACTCCTCTGTTCGTTGGTGGAAGAGTACGGCCCCGAACGAGTCGAGATTCGGATGTTCCATACTCCCAACTTGACGGGTCTGAGAAAGAAGTGGATCCCTGCTCGCGTCAACGAGGGCTGGGGCTTGCAGCACATGAAGCTGTACGGGATAGACGACGAGATCATTCTATCGGGGTATGTTATCTGCGAACTGGTACAAACGCGGGATATTAATATATTCGCAGAGCAAACCTATCTGAGGAATACTTCACCAGCCGTCTAGATCGATACCATGTGTTCGACTCCAAGGTGCTGACCGAATATTACGCTAAAATCCACCATGCAATCTGCAGTCTGAGCTTCCAGGTGCTGCCGGACCCTCAAAACAAATCCAGCTATATTTTGGACTGGCCTACCGCAAACAAATCCCCTTCTCCTCTTGACGATCCTCAAGAATTTATTGCATATTCTTCGAAGTTCTTGACCCCGCTCATTCAGGCCTCTGACAACAAACCTGCACTTCCCTCCTCATCAAGTCAAACCTATGTATACCCTGTATCGCAGTTTACTTCTCTCCTGCAACCTGATGACACATCTACCGAATACCCTGCCGTGACGACCATTCTCCATCTCCTGTCGAGCTCATCAGTCTTTGTTGGTGCCCGCTGGCTCTTCACAGCAGGCTACTTCAACATGCACCCTGTTCTTTCCTCCCTCCTAATTTCCAGCACAACCACCGCCTCGAGGACTCCCACCACCACGAAAGGTACCGTTTTAACGGCCTCGCCGTGGGCAAATGGATTCTTTGGCTCCTCTGGAGTCTCGGGAATGCTACCGGCCGCATACACACATCTCGCTGCCCGCTTCCTTGACCGCGTCGCCGATGCGCACGCCACAGACTCCATTCAACTGAAGGAATGGCGCAAGGGCACTGTTGGCACGCCAGGTGGATGGACCTACCACGCCAAAGGCCTGTGGGTCACACTACCGCGCGAGGAACACCCCAGCCTCACCTTCGTCGGTAGCAGCAACTACACAAAGCGCAGCTACAGCCTAGACCTTGAGTCCGGCGCTGTAGTTGTGACGAACGATCCGGATCTCAAACAGAAGCTGGGTGAAGAGACTGAGCGGCTTCAGAAACATGCTACCCCCGTCTCGAGAGATGACCTCATGCGAACGGAAAGGCGAGTCGGATGGAATGTGAGACTTTCCATGTGGATTGTAGAGAAGGTTGGCGGTGCCTTCTAATTCTCTTGGTCTTTTGTATAAATATCTATTGAAAATAATAGCGAATCTGTAATATACTGTGGTATAGATTGATGTGATAGTTGAGGCTATCACACCATGCAACCTTGGAAGAACATCTCATCTGAGTCATACATTATCAATCACTCCTATTTCAATTATGAGCACCAAAATTTCAGAGGAATAACTACATCCTGAAACATCTCCATGGGTATTCAAGAGAGTTTCGCCTCAAAATCATGGTTCGGTTTCGATCTAGATGACACGCTCCACGAATTCCGACGAGCATCGGCCGACGCCTCAACCCGTGTCTTCGAAACCATTCACAGCTCAAGCAAGAAGACGAGCGTAGATATTCTCAGAAATACATATCAAGATATACTGCGCAGTGCAACCGCAAATGCTTTCACAGATGGCAGGACCTCAAGCGAGTACCGGCGCGAACGGTTCGGGCGTCTTCTCCAGGTGTACGGGCTCATTGATGACTCTCTGCTGGGTCGTCTACTAGAGGTATACCAAGACTCACTACGCGAGAACTTGACTCTCAAGACGGGTGCATTGCACCTTTTGCAGACTTTGCGAGGGCCGGGAAAGAAAGTCATTGTCATTACGGAAGGCCCGGCGGATGCGCAGGAGTGGACAGTCCAGGAACTCGGGATACGGTCTTATGTCGATGTTCTTGTGACTACTAACGAGGTCGGCAAGTCTAAGGTCGATGGGCTCTTTGGTGTTGTGCTGGAGAAATATGGTATCGCCGCTGAAGATATTGTATACTTTGGTGACAATGGGATTCGCGATGTTCAGGCTGCGCGGGAGGAGGGGATACTGGCTGTTCTTTATGATGAAAAACATAAGTCTCGCTTGTATGATATCAATGCACTACGAGTGGATTCGTGGATTGTTGTAGAAAAGGTACTCGTCCATGGAGAGTAAGGATACACAATAGAGCATTGAGACATAAACATAACTTTTGGTCTAGCCATCAAGAGATATCAACCCTAACGCACAGGAATGCCGTAATAAATAAGTAATAAAAAAGCCAAACGCCATGTCATGACTGGGGGTTCCCATTGGGTGTCGTCTCATATGCAGTGCAAATCTTCATCTAAGCTGTTCCGGAGACTTTGCCCTTGTCGGCTCGAATTCGAGCTGGGCCGAGACCGGATCGCACCTCGTCAAGCATTTTGATGCCAATGGCCTCGTTACCGTTCCTGCCACGCTTGTGCTTGGCACCGTGACGCTTCGCCTGTCCACTGGTGTTGGGGTCCCAGCTGGAGAGGAAGTCGTCCATGACGTTGTTAAAGGTGCTGCGGCTGTGCACGGCTTCGCCGTTGCCATCGATCAGACTAGGGGCCTGTGATGACGCGATGGACATGCCCGTCATGCCGGTTGCACCTGTCATTCCGCTGATCATGGACATGCTGTCATCGTATTCGTCTTCCTCGTCAAGAGAGTAGAGTTGCTCAACCTTGTCAAATCGGTCATCGAGGAGACGGTGACCGGCAGTACGAGCCAGAGCGGACGAGGTCATCGAGTACGCAGACGGGTTAGTCAGAGCACCCTTGCGCTTCTTCCGGCGAATTGGCGTTCCGCCAATAGTGAAGGCGGTTGATGCCATCGTCTGCGATGCTGCGATTGTGGGTGCAGCGGGTGCGGGAGCATTTCCAGCCTTGGCATCTTTCTTGAACTTGGCGAACTCGCTCATCCAACTCTGGTCAGTGGGCTGCATATCGGGAGCCGGCTTATCATGCTCGGGCATCTCGCCGGGGTCCATTGGTGCCTTCGCAGACCCTTCTGGCAGTTCATCATCCACTGAGCGATCGGCCTTGGTGCTGTCCGGCTGCACGGGCGCTTTCTCCGTAGCATCCGACTCCCATCCCTCGTCTTCAACATCGTGGTCAAACAGAGAATCCTCCCAGTCGCCCTCGTCTATTTCCTCCGCATTGGCCGTTAATTCTCCAAAGATTCCGTCAGCGTCGCCCTCCTCCACGAAGGCTTCGTCCTCCAGCGCCTCCAGCGCCTCTCGCAGCCGCGGGTCCATGTCAGGTTTGAATCCGGCAATTGCGTCTGGGACATTCTGCTGGTCCTGGTAGGTTGGCTTGCGGATAAAGGATGAAGCAGTTGAGCGCATGTCACCATATTGCGAGCCATGAAGACTGGGACCGACGGAGGCGCTGTGATCATAGGTATCTTTATCCACGAGCGAGACCTGTCGCAGCGCATCTTCCAGCTTCATTCCTCGGCCGGCCCTGCCCTTAGCCTTCTCATTCTTGGCTTCGACAAAGTACGCATCTCCGGTGCCACTTCCCAGCTCGCGCAAATGCTGCATGTAATCGTAGCTGGAGTCATCGTAGTAGACGCCGTAATTGGCGGCCTCGCCCTCATTCTCGCGAGCACTGTCGCCGTATTCGGTATGGAGATCAGACAAATTTGGCAATTGCTTCTTCGAGGTGCTGGCGAAAGACGATGCAGGTGCAGGCGCGGGCGCCGGGCCTCCGACCTGGTACAGGAAACGGTCATCCGCACTGGTATCGTGGATCAACGGATCATTTTGAGAGCGGTGAAAGAGCTGAAACTTGCTCGCGTTCTTCTTGTCACTATGGATATGTTAGATTTGGCGCCATAGGCATCCTCATGCTATACGTACATCCACTGTTTGGGCGGCATCTTTGGTTTGGTCAACTTTTTGGTATCGCAGAAAAAAAAGGGAAAAAGTGGGATTGATAGGGTCACGTGTGGCTTATCGCCCCTCGTTCTCCGGGGTCCTCAGAATCGAACTGTATACGTTTAATGGAGGATTTCGTTGGAATTTCCACTTGATATTCGTTTAATTTTGATTTAACTCATTGTGCAACTTCGCTTGGAGATTTGGGTATTCATTGGGCTCGGCGCTTTAGGGAGGCCCGCATCAATAGTACTATGTCATAGATTGAACCATAAACCCTAGTCATAGACCATATTTTTATGCATAGATGCCTTTGATTATTGAATATTTCAATATTTTACACCCATGTAATGCGAATAGTATGATGAAAACCTACAAAAAGTACAAAGACATGGTCATATACTTCCATAGAGGGCTCTGAGCATCCCTGAAGGCATAGAGGGGGCTGAGTCAGCGTTATCTTATCCGTCTGAATAATCCAAAATTCCCTTTTCAGGTGGGGGTTGTGCCTCCTCGACTTGATTTTTTACTTTCTTCAATTTTTCTTCAATTTTATCTTAAGCATCGCCATCATGGTTTTGCCTAAATCCAAGAAATCCGTGGGACTGGGTGCCAGTCTCATGAACGATCGGTTCGGAAAGGGCAAAGCATCCGCTCAGAAGAAGGTCTCTCACAATAATGCCATCCAGCGCACAGGTGTCAATGGTGAAACCTACGTCACCAACGAGGCAAAGGAGGCCTCATGGGTCAAGATGCGCAGTATTACTGAGCAGGCCGCGCTCGACGAATTCCTGAGTACCGCCGAACTGGCCGGAACTGACTTTACCGCTGAAAAAATCAACAACGTCAAGATCATCCACTCCGATCAGAAGAACCCCTTCCTTCTCACCCCCACCGAAGAGAAGAAGGCTTTCATTAAGCACCAGAAGAACAAGGACCGCCTCACTGTTCCCCGACGACCCAAGTGGGACCAGTCCACGACTCGAAATGAACTAGAAACTATGGAGAAACAAAGTCTGTTGGACTGGCGACGAGGACTGGCCGAGCTGATCGAGAACCACGATCTGCTGATGACCCCATTCGAGCGCAATCTGGAGGTCTGGCGCCAACTGTGGCGTGTCATTGAGCGGTCCGATCTTATTGTGCAGATTGTCGATGCGCGAAACCCGTTGCAGTTCCGTTCGGAGGATTTGGAGAGTTACGTCAAGGAGATTGATCCTCGCAAGCAGAACTTGCTGTTGGTCAACAAGGCAGATATGTTGAGTCTGAAGCAGAGAGAAGCTTGGGCTCACTACTTTGAGACGAACAAGATCAACTTCCGTTTCTTCTCGGCTCACCTCGCCAAAGAGAAGAACGAGGCCCTCGCCGCGCTGGAGGAGGAAGAATATGACTCTGATGCTGAAATTGCCAAGTCAGCGGCAAAGATCAACATGGAAATCCACGCCACCGAAGACGATGGATACAAGAAGGAGGAGACAACGGAGGAAGAGAGGGCCAAGCTTGCCGATCCTGAACGCTCGCTTGGAGCACACATTCTAGACACCGAAGAACTGGAAGAACTTTTCCTGGCCAACTCCCCGGAATCACTACCGCAAGATGACGAGTCTGGCGAGACCAAGCGTAAGACCACAATCGGTCTGGTCGGTTACCCCAACGTGGGTAAGTCCAGTACCATCAACGCCCTCCTCGGTGCGAAGAAGGTTTCTGTCTCTGCCACACCCGGTAAGACCAAGCATTTCCAGACTCTCTACCTCTCCCCCGAGATTATGCTGTGCGATTGTCCCGGTCTCGTGTTCCCCAACTTCGCTACCACCAAGGCCGAGTTGGTCGTCAACGGTGTGCTGCCCATCGATCAGCAGCGCGAGTTCACCGGTCCCGCCGGTATTGTCGCCAAGCGTATCCCCAAGCACTTCATTGAGCAGGTGTATGGTGTAAAGCTCAGAATGCGTCCCGTCGAAGAGGGCGGCACTGGCGTGCCCACTGCCAGCGAGATTCTGCGTGCCTATGCTCGCGCCCGCGGTTTCTCTACTCAGGGTATTGGTCAGCCCGACGAGTCCCGCGCTGCACGATACGTTCTCAAGGACTACGTCAACGGCAAACTTCTCTGGGTCAACCCTCCCCCAGTTGCCGAGAATGAAACTCCAATTGACACTGTCGAGTTCAACAGCGACCTATACGACCTCGCTCATCTTCCCGAAAGACGCCGAGCTCAGCTCACACAGGCCAAGATTGGAAAGCACACCGCAGTAGAAGAGGTCACTGCAGACCCCGCCGCCGACATCGACCCAGAGAACCCCTCTGAGCCAGTCAAGATTTCCGCCGAGCCGGAGCTCGGTCGCACCTCCCGCAACCTTGATACGGGCTTCTTCGGCTCAGAAACCGGCCCCTCCGCCGGCCGTCTGACCCTCCCCTTCCAAGCTCGCTACACCCAACAGGGCCAGGAGATGCGCAAGGCGCCCACAGGCCGCAAGGAGCGCATGATGGTTGCTCTTGAGCGTGGCGTGGATGTCTCTGAGGTGAAGGGCAACACCAGCACGAAGAAGCACTTCAAGGCAAACAAGCGCCTGGCCAAGGGCAAGCGCAACAACCCTGAGGATGACGACTACTAAAAAGTGATTTTCTGTTTCTTTTGCTGCATTGTTGCTTGCGCTCGCAGGCGAGTCGAGGGAGATCCTACCACTCCCCTCTACTCTACGAGGTATCATTCTTGGGCTCATGATGAATGAATTGATAAATGGTCCTATATATGGGATTTGCATGTCATGTCGGGGAAGGTTTATGTCCATGTTCATGTTCATGTTTGTTGAAGAATCATCTTTTTGGCGTTCGGTTTTTACGAGTTGAATAACGATTTATACCAGTCATTCATTCACTTGATTTTACATCATTTCTCTTCCACCGTAAACCCAATTCAAATACTAACTACCAAGACCCAAGTAAAAACCGAAAACAATGTTCGTGCATTCAGCCGAACTAAAGCAGACTATATCGTAAACTAGGTATATCTATCCATCTCAAAGGTGACTCTTAGGCTTGAATCCAGAAGCAGCAAGCAAGCGATCAGCCTCCTCACGCTGCCAGTTCAACTTAGCAGTAACCTCATCCTTGCGAGACTTGTTCTCCCGCTTACCCAACTGCTGCAAGTGAACCTCATCAGGACCATCCGCAATACGCAGAGTACGAATACCAGCCCACAAATACGCAAGCGGAGTGTCCTGACAAACACCAGCAGCACCATAAGCCTGCACAGCCCGATCAATGACAGTAA